TTGGTTAAGTACAACATCTAGGCCATCTTTCAGGCAGCTGGAGCTTGTGGTTGTTATTTGCTTATTTGTTTAGTGACTTGGTTGAAATATTTAATTTAAGTCTGTTTCTCCCACAGTATGAACTTTCTGATGTACCTGAGAGTATCCAGCCTTGAGTGAGCATACATCCAATTATCCTTCAATGACACTGATAACACTGGTTTTAGCAGAAATCTTTTTTATTTTCTTTTTTTTGAGACAGAGTCTTGCTCTGTCACCCAGGCCAGAGTACAGCAGTATGATCTTCCCTCACTACAACTTCCACCTCCCAAGTTCAAGAGATTCTCCTGCCTCAGCCTCCTGAGAGCTAGGACTACAGGTGCATGCCACCATGCCCGGGTGACTTAGCAGGACTCTTTGACTGTCTCTTCCTCTGATCTCTTTGTTACGCTTTCTGTCTTTCTTGACATCTCTCTAACTGCCAGCTGATTATTCTACTGTTTTCAACAATGTCCTCATGCATAAATTGTACCACAGGCTGATTCAATTAAATGTAGACTCCGTTGTGAGGTCATTTTGAGGTTTGTTCCTATCCCATCAGGACGAATCCTAGCTATCTCTAGCTCTGGCTTTCTCTGGTAAACCAGGGGCTATACTTTTAGCTGTTACTCTTAATTCTTAAGTGTTTACCGTTAAAATCTTCATTATTCAGAGCCCCATTAGGTTGGAACTTTCCCATACTCCATATAAAGTTAGTTCTTTGAGGAGAGCTTCAGAGTTTCTGTTGTTAAGGTTGCTTCCCATGCTGGGCAAATTCTCTGAGTCATTGCTCCGGCACCAGGTTGGGGAAGGTGGCCTACTTCTCTTGGAGTGACATTTCTCCTTTATGAGAAAGACAGTGGGTGAGGGTGGTAGCCTCTGGTCTTCTCAGCTTGCCTCTCCCATGTGGAACCTCTCTCCTTTCTATAAACAAAATGAGGTGAAAGTAGTTGAGGCCCTAGTTTTTTGGCCTGCTGAGAGGAGTCAGAGCTTTTTGGTCAGATCTCTGCCCTGTGGGAAGGAATCCAATAACTTCTTGGTGGTACTCTTCAGAATTTAGCATCTGCAACATGAAGCTGAGGGAGTTAAAAAATACTAGCCATGTGCTCCTCCTATGGAAATACTGTTGCCCTTGACTAGAAGCTGGAGGGAAATGGAGCCCCATCTTCCTGGCCACACAGGGCTGAAGTGAAGCTTCTGTCATGCTAATCTGGGGGTGTGGGGAGGCAAAAAGCAGGTCATAACTCAAGGGCCACAAATTATTTTTACTGAGATTTAGCAGCTTTTCTCAAATATATGTTTTCTTGCTTGCTGATTTGTTACGTAATCTTAGGATAATTTCCAGAGACTTTGAATAGTTTTTTTAAAAAAATAGTTTTCACTAGTTATGGCTTTTCTGCTGAGGATGATTCTGTGGAACTTCTCTCAGACCACCATTTAGGTACTGATAATTTCCACTCTGTATCTCTGAAGTACAGAGGTTATTAGCAAGCTAGCATTATTGTATAAATAATTTTATTTATATATGCATATCTTGTAGATATTGCAAGTTCAGTTCCACACCACCATAATAAAGTGAATATGGTAATAAAGCAAATCAACAACTTTTCTGGTTTCTTAGTATGTATAAAAGTTACGTTTACACTACACTACAATCCATTAAGTACAATAGCATATGTCCCAAAAAATGTACATGCCATAATTTAAAAATACTTTATTGCTAAAAAATGCTAATGACCATCTAAGTTTTCAGCAGGCTGTAATCTTGTTGGTAGAGGGTCTTGCCTTCATGTGTATGGCTGCTGATGGATCTAGGATGGTGGCTGCTGAACACTGGGACAGCTGTGGCAGTTTTTTAAAATAAGACAACAATAAAGTCTGCTGCATTGATAGACTCTTCCTTTCATGAAAGATTTCTCTGTTTGTTGGCACTTTACTCACAGTAGGACTTTCAAAATTGGAGTAAATTCTCTTGAACTCTGCTGTTGCTTTACTAAGTTTATTTAATAGTCTAAACACTTTGTCATTTCAACAATGTGTACAGTAGCTTCACCAAGAGTAGAGTCTATCTCAAGAAATTATTTGTTCATCCTTAAGAAGCAACTCTTCATTCAATTTTTATGATGAGATTGAAGCAATTCAGTGACATATTCAAGCTCTACTTCCAATTCCATTTTTCTTGTTTTTTCCACCATAGTAACTGTTATTTCCTCCACCAAGGTCTGGAATCCCACAAAGTTATCCATGAAGGTTGGAATCAGCTTCTTCCAAATGCCTTTACATGTTGATATTTTGACCTCCTCTCATGAATCATAATGTTCTTAATGGCATTTAGATTGGTGAATCCTTTTCAGAAGCTTTCAATTTACTTTTCCCAGGTCCATCAGAGGATTCACTATCTACGTCAGCAATATAGCTTTACAAAATGTGTATCTTAAATAAGATTTGAAAGTCAAAATGACTCCCTTATCCATGCACTGCAAACGGGTGTTATGTTGGCAGGCATGAAAACAACATTTATCTCCTTGTACATCTGCATCAGAGCTTTTGGTTGACTACATGCATTGTCAATGAACAGTAATATTTTGAAAGGAATGTCTTTTTCTGAGTAGCAGGCTTCAATAATATGTTTGCAATATTCAATAGAGCATGCTGTTAACAGATGTGCTATCACCAAGGCTTTCTTGCTCCATTTATAGAGCACAGGCAGAGTAGATTTAGCATATTTCTAAGGGCTCAAGGATTTTTGAAATGGTAAACAAGCACAGGTTTTAACATAAGGTGTCGGCTGCATTAGATCCTAACAAAAGAGTCAGCATATCCATTGAAATTTTAAAGCCAAGCATTGACTTCTCCTCTCTAGCTATGAAAGTTCTAGATGGCATTTTCTTCCAATGGAAAGCTGCTTTATCTACATTGAAAAATCTGTTGTTTAGTGTAGCCACCTTTATCAATGATCTTTGCTAAATCAGGATAATTTGCTATAGCTGCTACATCAGTACTTGCTGCTTCACCTTGCACTTTTAAGTTATGGAGATGGCATTTTTCCTTCAACTGCATGAACCAATCTTTGCTAGCTTTCAATTATTCTTCTCCAGTTTCCTCTCCTCTCTCAGCCTTGATAAAATTGAAGAGAGTTAGGGTTTTGCTCTGGATTAGGCTTTGGTTTAAAGTAATGTCATGGCTAGTTTGATTTTCTATTCAAACTACTAAAATTTTCTCCATATCAGCAACAAGGCTGCTTACCTTTTTTATCACTCATGTGTTCATGACAGTAACACTTTTAATCTCCTTCAAAAACTTTTCCTTTGCATTTACAACTTGGCTGTTTGGTGCAAGAGGCCTAGCTTTTGGCTTATCTTGGCTGTGGGCATGCCGTCCTCACTAAGCATAATCATTTCTGGCTTTTTATTTAAAGTCAGAGACATGTAACTTTCTTTCAGCTGAACATTTCAAGGCCACTGTAGGGTTATTATTCACCTAATTTCAATAATGTTGTGTCTCACGGTATAGAAAGGCTGGAGGAAAGGGAGAGAAATGGATAAGAGCCGGTTGGTAGAACAATCACAACACTTGTTTTTATCAATTAAGTTTGCCATCTTAAGAGTGCAATTTGTGGCATTACAAAATAATTACAGTAGTAACATCAAAGATCACTAAGCACAGATTACTAAAACAGATATAATAATAATAAAGTTTGAAATATTGTAAGAATTACCAAAATGTGACACAGAAATATGAAGCAAGTGCATGCTGTTGAAAAGAATTGTGCTGATAGACTTGCTCAATGCAGGGTTGCCATAAACCTTCAATTTGTAAAAATAACAATATCTGTGAAGCACAATAAAGGAAAGCACAATATTGTAAGATATGCCTGTATATTAAAAAATGTACAGAGTACTAAGAGTTAGGTACAGGGCTACATATTAGCTATATAAGCAAACTTTTAGAAGATTTTTTTATTCTCCAACTTTTAATTAATAACTAACTTTATATTAAAATGAAATTTTAAGTCCACTATTTAAAAAAATAAAAAATTTTAATTATGCACTTGAAATCACAGGAATCTGTTAAAATTGTTTCTGGGTTATTTAAAATTTTAACTTTATAAATAAGTCTTATAAAGTCTTTATACTTTAGCTCTTGGAACATGTGATAAACCCTCCTGAGAGATTCTCATTGAACTTTATCTTCTCTATTAAACATATACACCAACACCATTATCAAACAAAAACCTGCTCATACAAACAGCAGGGACCAATTTACATTTAATCAAGCAGAAATTGCTGTGTAGAATCTAGGTATTTCCTTTAAGACATTTGTATTGACATTCATTCAAAATCAAATTATTAATATGTATGTGTAATCTTTTAAAAAAAAGAACATCATGTAGGCAATTCTATATAAATTACATATTTTCTATTTATGATAAGTGGTTTTATTCTAGTAGATGTGAAAAAGTAAGAATCCAAGCATCTACAATATCAGTAAATGAAATGATCAAAGGATAATAATGACAATCCAAATCGATTTTGAAATATTATTTATTCAATGTCCTTAATTTTAAAAGTATCATGCAAAATGCTTTCTCCAAACATCTTGGAATGCCTTAAATATGAATTTGACATCTGATTTAAGTATCTGTGCCAATAACAAAGATAGAAAACTCACCTGCCAATACCTCCTTGCTGTTCCATATATGGCAAAAAGGAACACATTGGGAACTCTTATTTTCCTATCTAATCCCACAGTAAAAACAATAGGTAACCTTTTTCCCCAAAGTGATCTACAGAATCAATGCAATCCACGTGAAATTACAAAAAAAAAAAAAAATAGGTAACCTTTTCCCAAATTTACATTTCATCTGACAAGTATGCTATGGATTACAAAAGGATTTAGTCAACAACAGAGATATCTCCTAAAGTATCATGATTTAGAGAACCTAAAACAAGAACACTATATACTTTAATTTTTAAACTTACCTGATATAAATAATCTTCAAATACAAAATAATAATCATCATTGCTTGCTGTCAACTTCACATCCTATAATTAAAAGTAGACAGTACTGAAAAGAACCCAAATGAATCTGTCTGTAGTACTAAAGCACACACACAGTATTCAGAAGCATTACTGCAATAAATTTATTACTTTGTGATCATAAACTTCTCAATTAGATTTTAGCATTGCTATATAATTACTTGACTAATATATGTGACGTTAATCTCAAATTCCTCCTACTTTTTCAGATCCCTTTATTAATTCTTTGTTCTTTCAATTTTATCTCCTTTTAGTCTAATATTTAGATGGCTTAAAGCTAGAAAAGAAAAGCAGATGCAATCATAACATCCAAAAGCAACTGTAACAATCTGGCCCCAAATTACTGTTCCAATCTCACTGTTGAAGTCCACATTCTTGCCATTCCTGCAAATACCAAATATCTTCCATGCCTTTGTGATTATTCACTTGCAAGTCACCACTTGTTATGGAGAAAGAAAGAACATTGATTTTCTGTATTATGAGTTTAAGAGCTAGTTCACTGACTTCCCCTGGATAGTGTATTAGTTTCTTTCTTTAAATATGTTCCTATTCTCACTTTCTGACTTGAGTCTACCTTAATGATTTCCATGAGCCTCACTATGAGACTTTGGGCGCTTGGAGCTCCAATGTCTAAATGTTTCTTATATATGTAGCACTACCACAGTGCCTAGGACCTAAATACCCAATACACGTTTGATGAGTGAATAAAAATAAAAATGATAAAATTATTAACAGAAATTAATTACATTTTCCTGTGATATAATTCATCAGTTTATAGGTACCCCTCTCCAATAACAAGCAAACAAATGAACAAAAGTTTAGAAAAATAAACCAAAACATGTGTTTCCCCCAGGATTATCTCTGAATATTGTATCCAGAGTTGGAACCTGCTGCTTGTGTGCTTCAGTGTAAACAACATGAAATTCCAACAGATTTAACTAAGATTTGAAATCCAGTTCCCTACTTTTAGCTGTAAGACTTTGGTCAGTAACTCTGAGCCTAGATCTCCATATCTGTAAATGGGGATACCACCACCTACTTCAGAAAGGATGGGCAAATGCCTAGCATGGTATCAGATACAGAGTAGATATCCAGAAAACTATTTTTAAAATTCACCAAAAGCCCCTTTACTTACAATAGTGTCCATCTATTTATAAGTAAATATAGAACTCAAACCTTATATGCATCTAAAAACTCCAGACCTACACTACACCATACTTTTAGACCCAATATATAATCAGTGCAACAAGTACTGATTGATTGCTTGGGATGAAGGATACGAAAATCAAAACTTCAACAAATAAACAAAAAAGAAGACAAACAAGAAAACAAGAAAATGTTTATTGTCAAGAAGTCTACAATCTCACTGGCAAGATATTGAAAACATGCGAAAATTACAAAGAAATGTTATAAAAATCCACGGTCATATAGATCAGTCTACAAAATTCAACCAGGCTGGTGAGCAAAGTAGCAATCATGCGAGGATGGAAAGAGCAATAGATGACTCTGGGGGTAGCAAATGTGTGCTATGTCTGAAAAAACCATAGCGACACAGATTAAGGAGAAAGAAACGGTACAGCCTTCTATGTCAGAAGACAGCCTGGACAAAGGTAGAGATTATGCATTCTCAACAGGGGTGATATTATTGCCTCTGTGGGCATGAAAACTGGTTCTTGGAGGTCAACAAACTTTACATATTACAATGGTATGTAGCTATCTAGAGCTCATTCCTACCCACCCAAATCTTATTTTTTGTTATTTACTTTTTCTTATTAGAGAGAAATTAATCTTTCTCTTCAGGAGCTTGATAATGAAGAAAGGTTGAAAAACACTAGTATAAATTATCCGATTATAGTCACAAAAATGGTTGAAAACTATAGAAAGTATGGATACAAAGCAAGTTTGTTCTCTCACACACACACACACACACACACACACACACACACACAGAGAACCATTTAATAAATTAGCCTAGGGAGGGTTCAATGACATTCTGTACTCAGAAAATCATCGACTCAGAACATCTAAGAGTCTTTCCATCCTCCCCTGATTGCTACTTTGCTCAACAGCCTGGTTGAATTTTGTAGACTGTTTGAGCTATTTGACTACGGATTTTCTAACATTGCCTTGTTCCACTCATTCCTTTAACCTTTAAAAGAACTCTACCTTGTTTTCAGTTAAATTTAAAATAAGTCTTTGCTATAGGGAGTTATAACAAAACTGAGTATTTTTTTTTTTAATGATCATTCTCTTAACAGCTGACTTTAATAATGTTTGGAGTGATCGGCAGAGCCCAACTAACTCAAGTCAAAAATAACCAGAGACAGATATCTTCCTAAACACATTCATGTTGTGCACAGGATTGATGCCATCAAAACTTTTATTCAGTTTCTCAGGCACAAACCACTTTCTTCTTATAACAGATTTTCTTACTGAGTCAAACTGAAATTCATTTTGGTGACAAAGAGAACTCTCATGCTAGCACTCCTTACTTTTTCGAGCTTTTTCATGTGTGAGTTTCCTCTCATTTGATTAGAAAAGAGGTTAACGGTTTTACAGGCCAAAAGACCTTTTAGAGTTTTGATAAAATAATCCACTGAGCATAATAATTTGACCTCCAAGTCAACAGTAGTACCTGTGATCTAAATCTAGTGAAAAGCCTCTGTGAGATTCATGACTTTCCATCAAAGGACTGTATCCTCTAAACTCTCATTTTCCACTTACTGTAGAGCTTGGAGGTTAAGAATACAGTTTTGAAGTCAGATTGGCTAGGTCTAAATCTTGGCTTCACTACTTAATATGTGAATTTAAACAAACTTCTTTCTTTATCTCAATTCCCTCATTTGTAAAATGGCAAAATAACTACTTTCTGTTTTGTTAAAACACATGTGTCGCTATGTTGCTGGTAAGGGAGTGATATTAGTTTAACACGGAAGTTGTGTTGGTTCAGATGCAATTTTTCTCAAGTAAGAGTAGCCAGAGCAGAGGGAGGAGAATTATAATCATCAGCAGAAAAGAAAAAAACGTCTTCAGCTCAGCTGCTGCTGCACAGATATGAGGCTGTATAGCTTCATCTTAAGAACATTAAAAATGGACATTGGCACTGGGGCTCCCTCTCCAGAGAGGCACATTCCCAGCCCGGTACATCTCCATTGCTGTTCTTCTTATGCTCACCTTAACAGTAGTCCCAGTGGCCCAGAGCGTCACTTCCACTTGCATTATTTTAGCATTTCTGTTTTATTTGTTTTGTATATTTGTAATAGCTCCTACCAGACCAGCCTGCCTGAGTTGTCCGATTCTTCTCCCAAGCCACCGACGTTTGCTTTTGTTCGTACTCTGATTATAAAGTTGCAAAAGTTTGAGTGAGTCTACCTCAACCCTGTTTGCCTATAAGCTATGTTATTTTTAATGAATGGTTTTGTGAAATGCAAGTTTTTCCCCAGAAAAACAATGCATTTATCATTCATAGCCTAAATGTTAGTATCTGCTACTCTTAGGTAGTTGTATGCATTAAATAATAATCCATGTAAAGCGTTTGGAATACTATATGGCATAGTAAGCATTCGTTACTAATAGTTATAATTACCCCAGGCCATGTTCTACTCAGACAAATTTTCAGGTCCTCAATGTGTAATCTTCTTTTTCCCATTTCTGATACCTGTAATAATATGCCTTTCTCCATTATATTTCAAATTTAAATTTAAAATCCAAGACTTTTAAGCTGCCTAATATTAACTCAGAATTATTTGTATCCTATATTACACTTAAAGTGTTAGCTACACCAGACCAATCTGGTTCAACTTTTATGTAACACAGTTATGAGCTGTTTTTCAGTTGCCATGGACCCTCCAAGTTGAAGGTCATGTAACCTTAGCATGCCCAGATGAACCAAGCATGCAACCACAGGTGGAACCTGTGTGTTAGGACTAAGGATTGGGGTCTGAATTAAGAAGTGGAAATCATATAGCAGTATCCAGGATTCAATCAAATCAAGCCCCGGCATCACCCCATGGCAGGATCCAGTCTGATCAAACCTTTCTAGCTATAAAAACCCAGTGCTTTGGTATTTGGCTTCCTACTATGTACTGGAAAATGGACTCTGTTTGGCTCAGTGACAAAAGCATCAACTCAGCTCTCAACTTGATTATCAGATACCTGGAGGCAAAAATTCAATGTATCTCTGCCTTAAAACTTGAGATATACTTAGCTACATGTCTGGAAACTAAAAGAAATTAAAATGTAATTTTTGGTTGTCTTAGCTTGGAAAAAGAAAAAAAAATTAAAATGACTTCAATATAAAGAGAATAAAAAAGTAGGCCCTAAAGAATAATAAGATAAAAATATTATATTCTGATTTTCTTTTCAGTTCCCTTTTTGTTTGTGTAGAAACCTTGAATTTACAGAGATAAGAAATGTTTATTCTCTTAAAGGGAAGAAGATAACAAAGAATGCAAGCTGCAAATTTTGAACACCAACTTTATATGCACACATCTAATCACTTAAAATTATTTTTCAAGGTTAATATATATCATTATACATAGTGCAGGCTCTGCATATTGAAGAATCTCAATTTTTAATATTAATGAAAAGGAAAAAACTAAGCTCACTTTTACTTACTTTATAAATTAGACTGTCCACCAAAAGGTCATGTTGTATCACATTGGTCTTAAGCTGCTCATAATACAAGACATCCTAAATTTAAAAGTAAAACAAAAAATTAAAGCTCAATCACATTTATAAAGTCAGCCTCAAACTCAAATAATAATCAATAGTTTTCCAAACACTAAGAAAGGCAAGAACTCTATTTTATTCACTACTATAACCCTCTTGCATGACTAATAGTAAATGTTCAATAAATACACCCATGCCCATCACTTAGGATAACATCTGACACCTGGTGGGTATTAAGTCAATATTTGCTAAGTTAACTGTAATTTAACTTTAATAGCAAATACAGTATTTATTAAGTACTTATAGGTTCCAAGCACTATTTCACCCATGTTACATGAGTTAATTCATTTAATCCCAAACCAATAAGATGAAATAGGTCAGTGATTACTATTCCCATTTATGCTTGAGAAACTGAAGCCAAGATAGAAAAGTAACTTGCTATTCAAGGTCATAAAGCTAGAAAGCAATCATATAGCATATAAAAGAAAAGTCAGCTTTTAATATTAGGATATGGTCCCATATGCTTGAGCTCAGGGGTTCAAGGTTACAGTGAGCTGTGATTGAGCCACTGCTCTCTAGCCTGGGCGACAGAATGAGACCCAGTCTCTAAAATAAATAAATAAATAATTTAAAACAAGAATATGGCCCCATAATATTATAAAATCTGATTAACTGCACAATGATGAGATTAGGCTAATGTTTAATTTAATAGAGAATAAGAAGTAGAAGAGAGGAAAATGGAAAGTAGAGAGAGTAAGCAAGGAAATGAAGAAGGGGGGAGGGACTAAAGACAGTAATCAAGTTAAGCATCAGGTTCACAGCGGGTTGGGTATTAAGGGTGAAGGTAGAGATCAATGGGTAATAATTATGCTAATAAGAGATGGAAATATTATCTCGTTGCTTTAGTTGACCCCTGTATTCCTCCAAATCTCTTCTTTCACCTCTCAGGCACTTTAGCCCTAGCCTCCTCTCAAACCCAAAGGCAATTTAGCATGCATGGATCTGTATGACTCTGCCTGACCTCAAAGAAGAGTTGTGGGATAGGGTCCTCTGGGACAAGGAGGAATATTTATTGCATGTAGCTGCCTTGCCAGGATAAAATCTGACTCTATGTTTCCTGAAATATGATTTCTTCATCATGAAAAATGTTTAATAATAGTTCTTTGGCTTGAGTCAAAGTGATCTTTCCCTACTAATGATCCAGGCATTTACTGGCTATTTTTAGTCATTTAGATTGTAATTACAAAGCCTTAGTTGGTTCTCATTGATGTTTTCATTTTTTAACTAAAGCATTATTTTACTATTTTATTTATCTTCTATTGCATCTACTGAATCTATCTCTCTGGCTAGAATGTAGGCTCCTTAATGGTAGAAACTGCACGTAATTCACATATCAATTCCTGCCAGTTGGAGTAAAGGAATACAAAAGCTATGTTTATGAGTTTGCCTCTTTTTAAAAATAACTTTAAAATTACAAACTAATATATGACCATTAAAATAAGTGAAACAATCTAAAGTAAAATTAAAAATAAGTTAGGCATCCTTTTTCCTTCCATTCAACCTTCCCAAAATAACTACTATTATTTGTATTTGGTATTATATTTGTGGTGTTATTTGCAATTTGTATTCTTTCTTGTTTATACCCATCTCCATGCTTACATGACTATGTAATCATAGTTGGGAGTTTGTGTTGTTTTTTAATATGAAATGGAATCATACTATACTCTTTATCCAGATTCTCTAACCCAAAGCTATACCATGGTTTTCTTTTTTGTTAAACAATACACATTTAACTCATTCTTTTTAATAGCTACGTATATTTAATATTTTTAAAGTTGTGGTATAGATGTGTTACAATTTGTTTAATCAAATCCCTATAGATGGATACTCAGGTTGTTTGTCCCTACAAATAATATTGCAATAAATATCCTTATGAACTATGTTTTTATATCTACAGAATAAATTGGCAAAGGCAGGATTATAGGCTGAAGACTATATCTATCTTAAACTGGGGTACAAATTGCCTAATCTAAAAAAAAAATCAATTCAAATTCCCACCAGCAACATGAGAACACATTTTATCTATATACTCACCTCTTTTAAACATTTTCATGCATGAGAAATACCTCATTGTTGTATTAATTTACACTTTGCCTTCATAAAATTGTTGAAGAAACTTTCATATATTTACTGGCCATTTGAATTTCCATGTCAATGATTTGCCCTTCGTAACACATACCTATTTTTCTATTATCTTTCTCTTAATAATTTGTTAGATTCATTGTTTATAAGGAAGATTATATATCATTGTATTGCAAGTAGTTTTTCTTCAAAATAATGTGTTGCTTGATTTTTGGTTTATGGTATACATTGACTATTTTTATTTTTAATTTTTGTGGGTATATAGTAGAAATATATATACTTGGGAGTTACATGTCATATTTTGATATAGGAATGCAATGAACATTTGGGTTACTTTCAAATCTTGGCTATTGTGAATAATGCTGCAATAAACATGAGAGTGCAGCTATCTCTTCAATATACTTATTTCCTTTCTTTTAGGTATATATGTTGGAGTGGGATTGCCAGATCATATGGTAGCTGTGTTTTTAGTATTTTGAAGAACCTCCATATTTTTCCCCACAGTGGTTCTACTAATTTACATTCCCACCAACAGTGAAGGAGGGTTCCCTTATCTCCACATCTTCTCCAGCATATAGTGACAATTTTTAAAAAGTATTCCATGGCTTTGGGTTTTCTCACTTGCTTTAGGCAAGGCTCCCGCACCACATTTTTATACAAATATTTTTCTAATTTTATTTCTAAAATTGTCAATTAAAATTTTTTTTAATATTTATAATCCACCTGGAATTTATTCTTGTACCTAGTTATCAAAAGGTCTGTTTTCTTTCAGAAGGATGGTCAATTAACAGCACCATTTATTAAATAAAGCATGCATTTCCAATTGAAATAAAATGCTAGACCTGGATCTATTCATGGACTCACCATTCATTATTTTTCATAATTTCTTGGGCTATTCTTAAACATTTAATCTCCATAAGAACTTAAGATAATTTCATCCAGTTAAAAATAAAAAATAATTCTCTAACAAATGTTTTGAAAAAAATTGACAAATTTTATAATATTAAGAGCTTCCTGGTTTTATGAATGATATTAAGGCTCTCCACTCAAGACTATGATTCAGATCTCAGAAGTGTGACCCTAGATGAATTAACAAGCTTTTCTGAGCCTCAGTAAAATGATGAAAATAACAGCAACTTTTCTGTAGGTTGATGTGAGGAATAAATGAATTAATACACATTAATATGCTCAAAATAGTGCCTGGTTCAGGGTAAATGCTTTGTAAGTGTTAAACATTATTGCACTTTATAAAGTATGATAATTTTCTTCATATGGATCCTGTCCTGCTAAATTTATCTTTTAGGTATTTTAATGTTTCTACTATTGCAAATGAGATATTTTTTTCAGTATTACATTTCTAATTCACTACTGATAACAGAGAAAAACTATCGATTTTTGTATATTTATTTTATATCCCTCTGTAATTTTTAAAAAATCTATTGAGTTTTCTGGGTAATACCATCATAATCATCTGCAAAGATGATGACTGTATTTCTTATTTCCCCAAACATAAACCAACTCATTTCCACATCTTTAGTTAGAACCTCAAAAACTATGACAAATAATATTGGTGAACAATCACTGCCTTACTCCCAATTCTAATAAAAAGAGCTTCAACATTTCTGTTTAAACTTATTATTGGTTTGGGGAAATAGTCATATTACTTTTTAGTAGTTCCTTTAAAGATTTGATTACAAATGGCTGCTGGGTTTTATTAATGTCATTTGACAACTACTGACATAATTATAACTACTTAAAATATATTGATTTTCTCCAATATATCTGTTTTAATGTCTATTAAAATATAAAATTTAAAAACTTACTGATATTTACACCTAACAAAGATACTATATACATAATTATTTTTTATATTTTTCCTTAAATTATTCTCTTGAATAACATATCTTATAGCTTAGTAATAATAAACTTTTAGTATATATATATGTATTTTAAAAATTTCTTGTGTATATATATATATTTTATTGCACTTTAGGTTCTGGGGTACATGTGCAGAACATGCAGGATTGTTGCATACGTACATACATGGCAATGTGGTTTGCTGCCTTCATCCCCGTCACCTATATCCGGCATTTCTTCCCATGTTATCACTCCCCAATACCCTATCCCACACTGTCCCTCCCCTAGACCCCCCGAACAGACACCAGTGTGTGATGCTCCCCTCCATGTGTCCATGTGTTCTCATTGTTCAACACCCGCCTATGCATGAGAACATGCGGCGTTTGATTTTCTGTTCTTGTGTCAGTTTGCTGAGAATGATGGTTTCCAGATTTATCCATGTCCCTAGAAAGGACACAAACTCATCATTTTTCATGGCTGCATAGTATTCCATGGTGTATATGTGCTATATTTTCCTTTTCCAGTCTATCATCAATGGGCATTTGGGTGGGTTCCAGGCCTCTGCTATTGTAAACAGTGCCGCAATGAACATAAATGTGCATGTATCTTTATAATAGAATGGTTTATAATCCTTTGGGTATATACCCCGTA